ATTCCTACCCTGACTCCAATTATTTCTTTCTCTGACTCGGGTGTTGTTGCTGTCGGATCGTTTGACTCGGACTGGTCCTCTAGTTCCATTTCTTCTCCAGCTTCGCCCATTTTTCTGTTTTTGTCATGTCGAGTGTCTGTTCCGCAGAGCCGCCTGGCCCTTTTCCTTGTACTTCAGATGGGAACAGACTAGCTGCTTAACTTACTACGTGGATTATGGTCAGTAATCTTTCGTAAGCCCTTCTACCCCACCCATTGCCTAGTGGTTTACTAAGGGGTACTTGGCCGGTGGCCTGGTCCAGCCACTCACACTCCCTCAACTCTAGGGGCTGTGTTCTTTTTTCGGCGCTTGATTAGTCCTCTGATGCGCGCCTTCTCTTTGGGGGGCCTTTACTCTAAAAAAAACGTATCCCACCGCTGCCACCATGTTTCGCTTACCCGAGCAAGGTAGACACAGGACACGTGCCACGCCCTCACTGCAGCCTACTCCTCCAACGGGTCTCAAAACTAATCCTATGGCTCAGGTGTTACCCGCAGCTGTTTCCTACGACAGTTTTAGTCTAAGGATGTGTTGAGATGATTCACCCAGACTGTTAACTACCTAGGATCCTTTTCATTTAACCTTAATTTAGACAAATAAATCACATTGAGCCTCGAAGACTCATTTACAAGTGAAACCTGTGGTTAACTAGACACATGTAGGAGTTGGAGGCGAAAAAAATTCTTATCAGACTTTTTTCTTGGCTGAGAAAAACCCCTAATATTGAAAAAACACCTCGCACAAACAAGCACATATTTATGTAAACATTCTGCAGAGCAGGAAGAAGGAAGAGACGAGACCGGTCAACAACGTCTACAGATGCTCTCAAGGTCACTGTAATCAGTCAATGTCCTCCGGTGAGATCCATAAACATTCTCGAGGTATGTCGAGGAATGGCCAAGAATAACCTCTGAAAATCCAGAGTCCTGAAATGATGGTAGAAAGTTTTTTCATCGGGGTTTCATCTGGTTATCAGTTGGAAATTCCTCAGGGAGGGGGTGGTGAGCGTCAGATCACATTTTCTCCAGGCGAAATTCAGATAAGGTGGCCTTCAAGGACACCAAGGCAACCAAAATTTAGATAAACACACAGTTGTTTTGGAGACAGGCAGAACTTAATGACATCAACCTTGAGTCTGTGTTTGGTCCACTCGGTTCCGAAATGTCCAAATTAACATGGCCACACCGATGGAACATGTCTGAGTAAAAATCCAGATCTGATCCATTCAGCCCAAAGCATTTGAGTCCGGGTACTCGAGACATGAAACCAAACCATCATAAAGGCAAGCAGCGTGATCGGGTCCAAATTTGCTGCCAATGCAAAGCGGAGAGGGAGGGGGAGGAAGTATCCGATCTCGGCTTGAGCAAGTGGTGAAGTGAAGTTACCCGCAGCTGTTTCCTAGGACAGTTTTAGTCTAAGGATGTGTTGAGATGATTCACCCAGACTGTTAACTACCTACGATCCTTGCACCACACCCAAAATCTCACCTCGTGCCTCGCCCGACCTAGCAGCAGCAGTGGGGATGTTTGGCAGACGAGGAAGCGCAAGTTAACGGTAGCTCATCTCCTAATTTAACGTTGCAATTGTTATCCAATTTAGCTTTGTTTAGAATCCAAGTATAGGATTCTAGGATGTTGTTTTATAATCAAAGCTACTAAACCTTTTAAAACCTCCCGTGCTTCTGTTGTTTTTCTGAACCAAGTCTTCCACTTCCATGAACAAAGGGGTGTTGAAATAAGAATCCAGAATTTTACGTTTTGCTTTGCGTTAATCAATGATTTTGCAGGGGAAACAGCGGTGTGCACAGTCCAACAATGATTACATTTGATCACAAAGAGGATACATAACGATTAATACTCAGAGTTTAGTTATATTTCAGATGTTGATCCTTCCTGGACAAAGCAGTTCTCTATTCCTGGGGGGGAAGCTGGAGGATGACTGTAGGTTTGCTCTGTTCAGCCCCAGATATTTTCCTTCTGGCAGGCTGCGCTCTGTGAGTTCTTCGGTCGTCCTGACTCACTCAAGCGCTCCAAAACCTCTACAATTTACCCACACTCTCTACCAGCCCCAATATGTTATCTCTCACCACAATGACAAATCTTTCACAATTCCAAGCAATCAAATTCAAAATGTAATTGATCTTTCTGCCTGCCAATTTGTAGGCTACCGCTCTAATTTGAATTTTTTTTTTATTAAGGACAATATTGGCGAAACGTCTCCTTACCATCGCTTTTTTGGTGGAATTCCTCAAAATTCCAGCTCAGCAAAAAGCAAATTTCCCCATTCACATTTGAATGCAGGCCGTTTCTGGTCCTGCAGCTGGTCTGAATTTGAAGAAAAGGGTTCAAGCATATAATCCGGGCTGAGGAATAGGCTTTGTTTAATGGAACAAAGCCTATTCCATTTGCCCCAGTTCTCCTTCAGCTGGAACCATCCAAAAACTTGTCCTGTAATCCACACAATCCGATGGTCCAACAGCCCCAGTTTCACAGAATCATCTGTATTTATAGGGTGAGGTTTTGACTGACACTTCCAAAAGATCATGCCACCTGCATTAATCCAACCTTCTTTGAGCTGAACCTGGCTCAGGGTTCCATGCATGTCTATGGGAATTGCCACATCACTCCTTATACATATTAAAATCTGGTGTAGCTCATTTCATCCGGTTATGTCCGGACATGCCTGAGTCACTCTGAGTTGTTTTTCTCTCTTGTCTTTCCTTATTAGGAGTTGTTTTTTGCTTGGAGCTGTTTTTAAGGTCCGTCATTGTGAAATACTTTCTGCTTGTATAACTCTTTACTCACATAATGCTTCTAAAAACATTTCCTGAGAACACAGTTTCTTTCCTTCTTAATATGAACAAACTTAAAACAGAATACATTTAAAAAGCACAAAGATTATAGTATCAATTGATTATTTACTTGTTTTTGGTTATAATAAACAAATCATATTTCTACTTTAAAATATAACAGTTTCAGCTGAGGGAAATATGCTCCATTCCTTCACTTGTTCTTCTCCCCACATTCTTCCTACTTGCGTATGTGTATGTTTGAGTGCGTACGTATATGTGCATGTTTGTTGTATGAGTGTGTGAGTGTGTGCGTGCATGTGTGTGTTTATGCAGTGTGTGAGTGCATGTGTCTTCGTGTGTGTGTATATGCATGTGTTCTATTGACACAGGTCTGACCGGCATCCTTCCCCACCATCAAAGCCAACTCACTACCAGGTAGTGGTCAGTGGACAGCCCCCCCCCCCCCCCCATTCACCCGAGTGTACAGTGTTTATTTTGCACTCGTTAAAAGTGGGGCACCAGCTGGTCAGTTTATTGACCAATAACAACGTAATTAATATATTCACCCTTTAATAATCAGAATTAAGGCTGGGAGATATATGATACTTTTTAAAAATCAATATAATTTAATTCACAATATAAAATGAGACTTAATTCATGATATAAAATGAGACTATATTGATTTTCATTGAAGATTTATTTAGACAGCTAAATCACACTGAACCTCGAAGACTCATTTACAAGTGAGATCTGTTTAGACAGACAAAAATGTGGAACAGGACACATGTAGGAATTGGAGGCAAAAAAAATCCGATCAGACTCTTTCTTATTGGCTGAGAAGAAAAACTCTAATATTAAAAAACACCTTGCACAAACAAGCACATAGTGACGTAGACATTCCACAAAGGGAGAAGACAATGAGAGTGGTGAACAATGTCCATGGACGCTCTTGAGGGTACTGTAAGAGTTCTGATAAGGATGGAATAATCGGCCAGTTTCCTTCGGTGCGACCTGTAAACATTCTCGAGGGATGTCGGGGAATGGCCAAGGACAATGCCTGTGGGAATCCAAGAGTCCTGAAATGATGACACAATGTTTATTCAGCTGGTTTCCTCTTGTTGATCAGTTGGAAAGGAGGGGGGGGGGGGGGAGATGAGCGTCAGATTACATGTTCTCCAGGCAAATTCAGATAAGATGGCCTTCAAGGCCAGCCAGGGAAGCCAAATTCTGATAAAAACAGTTGTTTTGAGGGCAGGCAGAACTTAATGGCATCTACCTTGAGTCTGTGTTGGTCCAAACGGTTCCGAAATGTCCAAATTACATGGCCACACCGATGGAACGTGCCCGAGTAAAATCCCCGAGATTTGATCCATTCTGCCCAAAGCATTTGAGTCTGGGTACTCGAGGCACGAACCAAGCCATCATAAGGCAAGCAGCGTGACCGGGTCCAAATTTGCTGCCAATGACTTCCTTGATTGTAGATAAAACCAGCAACCAGCCGAATCCAAAAAGCAGGAACCAGTTATTGTGAATCCAATTAAATATGCGTCCTTAAAATCCACAAATGGCAGCAGAGATAGACACATCATCATCTTCAAGTCGATGAGATATCCAGCTGCGTGCGTGCCAACAGGGCAAATCGGTTTGCCTAAAGCCTGTCTTCTCTTCGAAGAAATGTTATCAATTGCATTGAGGGACCAACTGATCAAGTCAAGTCCATAATTATAGTTCGAAATATATGCAAGAGAGGCTCAGAAGCAGTTTCACAGACAAGACAGAGCAGCAAAGCATTGCGAAGAGGGAGAGGAGGGGAAAAGTGTCCGACCTCAGCAAGAGCAAGTGATGAAGGGATACACCCAGGTGGAGCAGTAGGCAACTATGCAAGCGCCCAGGGAGTAATTTAGGATTAGGCATCTTGCTCAGAGACACCATGACATGTGGGAATGGCTGGGGATTGAACCTGGGACTTTTGGGTCCCAAGTCAGCTGTCCTGCCTCTCTACCCCTTAACCTACCAACTGCTCCCCGGGCGCCTTAGATGGCAGCCCAGTTTCACGTGTGTGCTAACATGTGCAATGGAAAACGGTCATTTTCAGGATAAAATTTCAGGTTGATATAAAAGTCAACATAAATGTCATAATACCGGTATCTGTACAAGTGAATGTGTGTACCGTATAGATTCTGGACAACGGATGATGGCTTCCACTATGTGATCTCTGATCTGCTGCCGGTCATTCTCATGAATGTTGAAGGGAAAGACAATCTCACCAACAGATGGCTCCCTGTCTTGCCAATACTGACCCACCATGTTCTTCAAGTAGATGGCCGCTAAACACAGAGACAAAAAATACAAAAAATTAAAAATAAAACATCTGTGAATGAAAAGTTACATTATGTTATGTAGCATCCAGTCAATATCAAGAAGGCAAGCCCAGAACTGATGGTTAAATGATTTATTGAAGCTGTCCGTGTCTTCAACCAACGTAAGAGCTAGACAAAAACAAATTCAATAATTAGATATTTTACCGTCTATTGTTCTGTATAGATCATTACATTAGTACATTTCTTTCCATTAACACAATATTTCAAGTTACTCAATTTACTTTAAACACAGTTACAAACCTTGTTGCCCTATCGACTGAAGCTAAACTTGAGTTGCTTTTTAACTTTTTTCGTGATATCTTCTCTGTGTTGACGTTGGCTCTAATTTGTTTCGCATGTCAATTTTCTGTTTTGTCAAGTTAATTTCAGTTGGCATATTTCTGCTCAAGGAAGTTACCAAAATAAAAGAATACAACTTTAAACTGTGTTTTTTCGTCAGTTCAGAATAAAGGGACGAGACAGCCCCTGGTTTACTCCAGAGCTAGCTGACCTCATGCACAGGGGAGATCATCTTTGGGCCACAGCGAGAAAATCTGACTCTGACACTTATTGGTTGAGTTTTCGACAGATGAGGAATAAATGTACAACTGTTGTGAAAGCAGCAAAACGCAACTATTTCTTATCTCAGACCTCCAAAAATCTAAATGACCCTAACAGATTCTGGAAAACCATCAAATCTCTCTCAGGTACCCTCAATCATCTGACCTCCCAGCACAACTTCTCGTTAACGCTGTTCCTGTGTCAAATAAGCACGAGATCCTGAACTGTTTCAACAAACATTTTGTTGCTTCTAGTTCTTTATTTGACACAGTTACTAATGGAAAATCAGCCACTTCACGTAATAACCAAACTTTTACAAATCAAATCCCTCCTACAAGTCTCAGTTAATCACACCTTCTCTTTTTCTCCATTCGCAGTCAATGAGGTCAATAAACTGTTAAAAGATCTTGACCCTAAAAAATCTGCAGGTCCAGATGAACTTCCACCTTATTTCTTAAAGCTGGCTGCTCATATCATCACAGTCCCTGTGACCCACATCTTCAATCTCTCCATAAGACAAAACTCCATCCCAGACACTTGGAAAACAGCCTTTGTTCTACCTTTGCTGAAGGGAGGTGACCCCACCTCACTGAACAACTATTGACCAATCTCTAAACTCTGCATTTTAGCCAAGGTTCTAGAAAAACTGATAAACTCTCAAATCAAAAATTACCTGGACTCATTTAACATCTTACCTCCACATCAATCTGGTTTCAGGAAACAACACAGCACAACCAGTGCTTCACTGAAGGTTCTTAATGACGTTGTTGAAGCACTGGATGCTAAGGATTATTGTGTTGCACTTTTCTTAGACCTGTCTAAAGCTTTTGACACTGTGGATCATAACATCTTGTGTCATAAACTCTCAGAAATTGGTTTCTCAGAACACACCATTGGTTGGTTCTCTAACTATCTTTCGGACCGGAGGCAATGTGTTCAACATAATGGTACTTCTTCCAGTTATTTAACAGTCAGCAATGGTGTACCACAAGGCTCAGTCTTAGGCCCACCCTCGTTACAATCTACATACATAATGTAGGTAAAAACATCCCTAATGCATCCATACATTTCTACGCTGATGACACAGTTGTTTATTGTCGAGCTAAAACTGTTGCTAAGGCTTTCCAGCTTTTGAAATCTGCATTCAACTACATCCAGACAGATTTGTTCCGCCTCTAACTTGTCCTAAATGCTGACAAAACCAAAGGGATGCTTTTTTCAAATAGGAAGTTGGTCCCAGCAGTTCTTTCTCCGATTTTATCCTCAAATGGTGTCCCCATTGAGTTTGTTGATTCCTATAAATATTTGGGTATCTTGGTCGACTCGCATCTCTCTTTTAAGCTCCATGTGGAAAACTTGGTAAAGAAACTGAAAGTTAAACTGGGTTTCTTTTTCAGAAACAGATCCTGTCTAACTCTGAACGCTAGGAAACGCCTTGTATCTGTGACTTTCCTTCCCTCCATTGATTACGGTGACATTATTTACATGAACGCTCTCACAAGAACCCTGCAGATGTCGGATGCTGTCTATCATGGTGCACTAAGATTCATAACTGTTAGTGTTTATCGTACCCACCACTGCACCCAGTATTCACTGGTTAACTGGACATCATTAACTTCACGCAGACTCTCTCACTGGTACATTTTCATCTTTAAATCACTTCTTGGTCTGCTGCCTTCATACATCTCCTACATGTCTCTGCGTGAGTGCAGCTACAGCGTGCGCTCTCAGGACATTATTACCTGCAGTGTTCCCTCAGTGAGGACTGAACTAGGCAAAAGGGCCTTCCCCTACTCCGCTCCTGTTTCCTGGAATATCTTACAAAAAGATTTGAAGCTCTCGACTTTGGCCTCTCTAAGTAGCTTTAAGAATCTGTTGACTCCTGGCAGGGACCAATGCAGACATGTTCCTGTTTTTAGTTTTCTACATTCGCCTTAGAATCTAGCTGTTTTTTATTACTTTTCTTTTTTTTTAGCCATCCTATTTGTTAAAAAAAAATTGTATGACTTTTTATAACTGTTTATTGTTGTTGCTGTTGTCCATTGTTGTCATCATTCTTTGTTGAAATCAGGTCTCTCTTGTAAATGAGTCCTCGAGGCTCAATGGGATTTACCTGTCAAAATAAAGGTTGAATGAATGAATATGACAGTTTAGGTCAAAATACTATCATTTTAAAGCCACAGTACTAAAGTTTATAATTTCGTATCTGGCAACCCGAATGACATAGAAACCACAGCAATTCTCATGTAAACAGAATGACATAGAAACCACAGCAATTCTCATGTAAACATGTTCATTTTTTGTTTATTACTCCCAAAAATCATTGAAAAAACACTAACATTTCCAGAGGTTGTTCTTGTGTAAACGGAGCCTTATAGTAGGTAGATCACGTTGACTTGGTTATTTCTAAAGTAGCTCGCATGCTGAAAAAGTTTGGGCACCCCTGCTGTAGATCTTCCATGTTGAGCGGTTTTATTTTACATTTGCCGTTTGAACAAACTTACTTTCTGACCAACTTCTGCTCTCCGATGGGCAACACAGGAATTGCCGTAGGACCTTGAGACCACATTGTGCAGCACTAGGCGGCGGTGAATTTTGTACTGAGGGAAACAGACAAGCTCCCTCTCTCGAACCTTCCATTCATTAGCTCAAACATAAAATGACAGGAATACTTTAAAAGCATCAATATCAGCTCCTCTCTGACAGCTTGGTGGGAGTTTCTTAAAATGGCAGTCTCCACTAGGGCTGAGTACCGAACCAAGGTTATTTTGTAGCACCGACCGAACTGCACCGGTCGGTGTATGGATTGAAACGTCACTCTTTTTTTGGTGTCAAGTTTCAGTATTGGCTGTAACGTGTCACATGGTTTCAGCACGCAGGCAGGTAAAACACAGACATATGACAAACAGTACGTGTTTACACCCAGAGCTGCATAGAGCTGCCGTACCTAATCTATGTATAATGTATGTCTATGTGCTGGTGACGCCCACAGATGGGGTTCACGTGTGCAGTGCATGTTGTCGAACGGCTTCAATTTATGAGCAGAAAGTTGCTCCGTGTTTTTCTGCGAGGAGAGAGGAGGACAGCAGCCTCCCCCCCTCTTCCTCCTCTCAGCATTAAAGTGTTAAAGTGCCTGTGAGTGTTAGAGAGCATGAACGGCCTGATTCATTATCTCCACGACCGGACTCCTATCAAAGAACCCCCCGAGGACGGAGCTGTGTGTGAGATTTTAGCTGGTAAGTTTACGTTTGTGTAGTGAACCAAGCCTAAGGTCAAAACCCTTGACCTTAAGAACCTTGTGGGACAGAAACTGTCATTTCATTGATTTGAATCCAAAAATACAGGTTCACCCATCCTGAGACTTTCTTTCTTGAAAATTCAAGTGAAAGAACACTCTCTTTTCTATTATCATTACTGTTTTACAAATGTTTGATAATCAAAGTGTTTTAGTTCAAACATTTTAGATGTTACAGTGAACTAATCAATTTTTATTAACTGTGAAAACAGTAACAATGATTTTTTAATCCTCATGCAAAGTTAGAATTCATGTTAAGGCCTGTTACAGAGTAATTATGCATTTTCTGATTTCCTGTCTTTGAATGAGCAGTGTACGTTTTCTCCAAGGTCAGAGTCGAAGCAGACAAGTGTTGGAACAACTGTCTTGTTTTTAAATCCTCTCAGACGTAAACAGAGAAGTTGGCACCTGTTTCTCCAAACTCGCCCAAACATTTCTCTCGCCTGTCTGAAAAACAGTTTCAATCTGTTCCATAACATTCTTGCTGTTTTCTGACTTCTAGTAACCTTTTACGTCACAAAACACACCCCTGTCTGGTCGACATCGACCAATAAGAAAACTCCCAAATGAACCGGAAATAGAGCCCTTTAAAATGTCGGTACTTCCTAGTTCTCTCAGATTTGATAGAGTTCTGTGAAGTGGCAAGTTCTGTGAGTTGCCGTTGGAGTCGGGCTGGAGAGTTTGCAGCTCCAGTCGGTTGGGAGAACAGAAGTCCAGCCATGATAAGGCTCTTCCGAGATTGGGATTATAACATCTTCCACCTCTGAGTGGAACTCGGACGAACCCCACTCATGTGAGGTCCACTGGCTGAGGTGAACTTGTGTCAGACGGAATATCGTCACTACTTCGGACGAGTCACAGCCATCCTATGGAGACGCTGGACAGGTAGCGTTAACTGGAACTCCGTATCCGCTGATTCATCTTCAGAGAGGTAACGAGTCAAGTTCACTACCGAGCGTACCGAGGAAAGCTGGGTTCGAATGGAGAGTGTCGTTTCTGGTCAACACTCTCCCTCACACACCATCTTTTACTCCCTTTAAACTTCATTTTCCATCTTTAAATTCTTCTATCAAGTAGAAATCATTCCAGATATTTTAGAAATGTCTGTGTA